TATAATGCTCAATTGTATTCTAAAAATAAAAACAAGCTTTCATTATACATTATTTCACAAAATGCAAAGCCCCAGCAGCTATAATGCTATTATTACTAGCCATGGTGGCAGACAGGAAAGGTGTACAGTAACAATATGAATGTTTTGAAATATTGTTGCTTATAACCTACACAAATGAGACACTGCAAACCAATTAATATGCATATGTTACTACACTGGTATATGTTCTCTGAAATCCAAAAACATTCTTCAGAAAGTGTTTCATACAGCAAGGTAATATTTCTTCTAAACCTAATTTAAAATATGAATAGCCCCTGAATATGTCACACTATAAGTTCACAGGTAGCAAAATCTGCACTTAACATTGCAGTGACCCTGTAAATCTTTATAAACAGGAGAGTAGTCAGTGAGACCATGTAGGGCTCAACTTGTGCCAAAGTCAACCATCTGTGGCACAGATCTCTTTAAAAAGACAATGGGTGACAAACAGTGTGGTAAATCTAAGCTGCCTCTGGAATCAGAGATAAATTCTGCCCATAGAGATGTGTTTGCTACCTACCTTATTGACAAGCACAGCCTATTCAGCATGACCCGAGGATCACTAGCCAGACTGCAAAGTCTGAATTCAGGATACATAAGGTCAACCTGCTTGTTCTATTTTTATGGATCATTTCCAATTAGTATCACTCACTGATTGTGTCCTTCAGGGAACATGGCAACTAACTGCAGATTAAAACTGTCACTCTCATGTAGTGAATATTAGAAGGGAAATATTAAAACAGCTACAAAACAGTATGGGCTGTGTGTGTGTGTCTCTGTCTTTCTCTGCATGCACGTGCGTAGGCCAATATGTATATGTGTGTGTGTGTGTGTGTGTGTGTGTATACAGTATGTATACACACACACACAACCCTGGGAAAACCTTGATCATTAACACCACAATCTTTGCAACAGTGTATGTACATAAACAACTGTTTAAGGTTCATATGACGTATCAGAAGTAGCATATGAACACTAAAGATGTAATTCAATATTTACTCCTAAATGTCATAATCCTCCAATATACTCAGATATTAAAGCCACATGTTCTTTTTCCCATTTTTTTTAAAAAAGCAAGAAATATTATTTGAGCACCGCTCCATGCACCTAGAATCTCAAATAGGCAGCCACATCCATAGTCTCCTGCTGTACAAGTTAAAGTCAAACCAGTAATAATGGATGTGGATACACCAGCCCTATCTTTAGGTAGCCTCTACAGGAAGAATATGTGAGAGGGTATCAGCTAATTATTATTCTAGTTTTGTATTAGGGGAATTGAGATTGAGGTTTGTGAAAAAATGCCCTTAGCAAATGCTATCATCATCCCTGGAACAGAAAATAAAGTATTTACTTCTTCATTTCTTACCTCAGAACCTTACCTATTTATACTGTGTATAGGACTGGAAGCTTAAAAATTACTTACACTTTGCTACTGTCTCATTTCCCCATTAGCAGGTTCTAATTTAAGAAGAAGGTGATTGGATGATTTTAAATAAGTAGTTTTAATTAAAACAGTATTTTACAGAGTGATTCCACAACTACCTAGGATGTTTCTTGTTCTGTTACATGCTTGATCGTACTGAAATTTTGTGCACCAAGGCAGCCATTCTTCTACGACCATTTAAGCTGAAGTAGGCAAGGAAATTAGAACTCCCTATTGCATAGGAAAAAGCGGCCGTGAATTTATTATATTGTCAATGGAACACTATTGGGGAAAGAACTGAATCTCAAACTGGTGTTACTGAGCAGACTGCAAGTTACAAGAGCAAAGCAGTAGCAAAAGCTAGAAGAAATATTTTCTCCATTTGCAGGTTTCTTCCATGCCCATATATCATTAGGATATATGGACCCACACTATGGTATGCTTAAAGTATACCAATTGAAAACTAATAAGATTTCAATATGTATCATGACTAGAATAATGCATTCTAGCTGCTACAGGACTCTCCCACAACCAATCCATGAAATACTGCCAGACTTCTTTCTTCTGGATTTGAATTGCATGATCAGAACCTCTGTAGTTGGCTATATTCCCCACTCCCAACCCCAGAACTGGCTAAAAGGATTATAGCACAGCAAGAAGGTACCTAAAAGCACAACAGTTTGCTACCTTCACTATTTCCCTCTTTAAAATATGTGGCCAGTATCTTGTTGCATGCCTCTGCCCACACAATGGAAGTTATGCCACCAGCAGCGATCAGATTGGCACTAACTAAAGGATTTCTTTTTTTATTCTCATGTGTGCATGATTTGCACTCAACAATATGAAGTCATTCACATTATAAAACTGAAAAAAAAAGAACTTTTTAAGTTGCCACAATTTGCCACTCTTAGTGTAACTCTCATTGTAGTGGCTGAAATATGCAATAGCATTTTGGCCACAATTTTTTAGAATGTTTATGTATAAATAAAATAAAAAGCCTTATTAGAAGACAAGAAAATAAAATTTAATATTCATCTTAACAAGTGACTCATCTAACCCATTGTGGAGTACTGGTCAAAATTACAGACAAGGGCTGAGGAGACAAAGCCCTCTGGGTCACTTTCTACAAGTCTTTACCACTGAGTCTGACCTCAGTCTTGTTGGAAGAGAAAATCATGTTAATATGTGCCAAACTGAACATCTCACCTTTTTAAAAGGCATCATAAGAAATAAGCAATTTGTACGCAATCCGCAACAGTTGTGTAAAGACAAAATGCAAAGAAAACACTATACTAGCTCTCCCCAATTTTAATCTAAGCACATATTTTCACTCAGTAAAATCCTGCAATTTCAACCAGGCTGCTAGTGCATCAATGAGTCCCCTGTACCCCATTTTAAGAGAAAAGCAAGCAAACATATACCTCAGGGATTGCACCAAATGACACACTGGGCCTCCTAGTGACACTATTTAGCCTGATTCAGCCTGTTTCAAAGAGACCATGTAGGTAAACCCTTAACTGCACACTTTAAAAAGTCACATTATTTAACAGCCATTTCCATCCTACAGAAATACAGACATTCCTTGAATAAAAAGTATACCCATGGAATATAAGAATTTGCATATGTATCCATTTTCAATTTAATGTAAGTGGTGAATCAGTATTTGAAACATAATACAAACTGCAATGTTATAGACTACAAAAGCAGATACCTACTTCACACACTGTCATGTGTGAAATGACCTCACAGAAGCTAATGAGCGTACCTAAATGACACACAGATTGGTTAATAATATTCATTAAAAACCATATACCTAAGAATCATAGCATTTGAAGTGGTGGAAAAGATTTAACTTGCTTAAAATTTCTGCATGTTTGTTTTTAGGATTTATGGAACTTTTACTTTATAATCAATAAAATTTTGGTATACATATTTTTAAAGCACAAACCAGCATGGGACTAATGTTTTATTTTTTTTAAAAAATATTATTTTAAGTACTTTAAGACTTCAGAAATATGAAGTTGTTTCCACAATGCTAGACATATTCTAATTAACTCTTCTAAGATCATTTACATTTTTCAATATTCAAGTAAGAATTTTTATAGTCAGTCAAATAAAATGGTCAGTCTTTGTGTGGTTTTTTTATGTGGGATATCCTGTAATACTATGCAAATGAATGGATGGTGTCTGATTTCTTTCAGGAAGCAGACTGCTTGGAGTGAAATTACAGTGTCCTGATACTGAGGAAATCTTGTACATATTCAGCAGTTGGTAACAACTTTAAATTGCTGTAACTAGACAGAAGTCTAAAACTTCACTTAGTTTACATGAAAACAGAATGTTTAAATGTGCTGCCATAAAAGACCATTGTCAGAAGTCTTGATCCCACAGCTATTTCATTTTTGTATCAGAAAAGACAGAAATAAAAAAACATGATACACTGATCAGGAAAGTAATAACAATTCCTTTGAATAAGAACAGTTACAAAGCTGAAGGTCTGTGTAAATATGAGAGCTGGCAAAGGAGAAGCTACTTCCTTTTCAAATAAATGTCTCAAGAACATGGGTAGTATCTATAAAGTACTATTTTGCAAATGGTTCTAAGCCAATATTGTAGACTTTAAAGTCTACCCTTATGGTAAAAGGTAAAATATCACTCATATAAAAGATAGATGTGTATTCATACTATCATATGGAACTGATCAATTTCGAGACATGCCCTTCTTTAACAACCCTTTTCTCTTGGTCAGATCATAGCAACAACTGTTTCCTGACTAACAATGCACTGAGTTTTTGCTAAAATAAGTTAAGTTTCAGAGGATCTTGTTCACAAGCAGAATCAACAGGTGTCGCCTGAAATGCGCCTTTGCTACAAGCCCTGTCCCCGTTTGCCATCTGAGCACCTTAAACTGGGAAAAAAAAAGAAAAAAAAGAGGCGGTGCAAAATATGGGGGGGGGGGGGGAGGGAAGCGTGTTTGTAGGCAAATTAACCATTTCAAAACCGACGCATCATACCCGCCTTTTAGAAGGCAGCCTCAAGATTTCCGCCAAGGACCTGCTTTTCTGGAGTTTGTTTTAAGGATTTTGGCTGGGGGAGGGGAAGATGGGGAGAAGGCGAAGGTTAGTCTCAAGACACGTAACAGAGAACCACCCCCTGAAAAGAACACGCCCGTCGCCTCAATGGTCCATTCAGTCACCCAGGAGGACTACACGAGTCTATTCTTCCCACGACCCTTTGTCAAATGTATC